TGTCAGAAATTTCGAGAACCTCTTAGAAGTTTTGCAAATGTCCCAGAATATCCGAAAACTCTAGATAGAGCTGGAATTGAGGCCTAACAGCTTTTGTAAGCAATGACTTCTCTTGATGATTTCTTGAAATTAAATGCTTGACCACGCAAACCAACGTCTTCATCGCGTAGGGAAAGACTTTCCCTATCCGATGGTTATGTTGGTTTCCGTGGGCGTGCCTTGAATTCCTAGAAATCATCGATAGAAGTCATTGTTTACAAAAGCTGTTACGCCCTAATTCCAGATCTATCTAGAGCTTCTTAAAAATTCCAGAACTTTCCAGAAGTTCCGGTAACTACTCAGAAGTTCTGGGAACTGCACAGAAGTTCCGGGGACTTACCATAAATTTCGAGAACTCACAGAAGATCCGACAACTTCTCAGAAATTCTGTGTACTTCTCTTAAATTCCAAGTACTACTAGATCTAGATCTTCGGAACGTCCCGGTAATTCCGAGAGTTTCCCAGGAGACTCTAGAACTTCCTAGCAGATCCGAGAACTTCCCCAAACATTCGAGTATTTCCCAGAAGATCTCAGAACTTCTCAGAAATTCCAAAAAAATCCTAGAAGATCCAAGTACTTCCCAGCAGTTCTGAGAGTTTTTCAGAATTTTTGAGAGCTTCCCATAAGTTCCGAGAATTTCTCAGAAGATCTGAGATCTGCGCAAAAAAAATCTGAGCATTTCCAACAAATTCCGAAAACTTCCCGATAATTCGGAGAGTTCCATAAACTTTTCAGAAGATTCAAGAACTTCGAAGAAATTCCAAGAACATCCCCAGAAAATGCGCGAGCTTCCCAGAAAATTTCGAAAACTTCCCATCAGCTCCGAGAGTGTTGCGGAATTTCCGAAAGCTTTCCAAAAGTTTGGAGAACCTCTTAGAACAATTGCGAATTTCCCAAAAGATCCGAGAACTTACTAGAAATTCTGAGGACTTCCTAAAAAATTCCGAGAACTGCCCAGATTCTTACTAGATTCGTGCACTTCGAAGAGCATCCGAGAACTTCCCACAATTTCTGTGAGCTTTCCAGAAGTTCCTTGAATTTTCCAGAAATTCCCAGACCTTTTCAAACATTCCGATAATTTCCCAGAATACCGGCGAATTTAATTTATTTAGAGAGCTTCCCAGAAGTTCCATAAACTTTTCAGAGGATTCAAGAACTTCGTAAAAAATTCCGAGAACTTCCCCAGAAGATGCGCGAGCTTCCCAAAAAAATCGAAATCTTCCCATCATTTCCGAGAGTGTTCCAGAATTTCCGGAAGCTCGCCAAAAGGTTAGAGAACCTCTTAGAACATTTGCGAATTTCCCAGAAGATCCGAGAGCTTACTAGAAATACTGAGGACTTCCTAAAAATTCCGAGAACTAACCCCCCACCCCCCGCCCCCCCGTCAAGACGTGGTTAGGCTAGTGTGTCTACGGAGGTCAGTGTACTCAAGAACATCCAGAATACAGCTATCACATCTGTGAGTGTGGGGGAGAAGAGGCCTTTGACGAAGCCTTGAAGAAGTACTTTTCTTTTGAGGAGACCGGAATCAAACCAACGGGTGCGGTAATGTCTGAAAAGGACAAACGATGTGCCCGAATATTAGAAACTACTACTAAACGCGTCGGCGAGAGGTTTGAGTCGGGGCTGCTGTGGAAATATGATAACTTTGAATTTCCAGACAGTTACCCGATGGCGACTCCAGTGTCCCGATAGCAGAATGGCTAAGGATCCGTCGCTCAAGCAAAACATCTTGCGGCAGATTGACGAGTATAAGCAGAAGTATATGCGCACCGAGCGACAGCGGAGGAATTAGCAGAAACGGACCCTCGTCGTACATGGTATCTCCCCTCGGAGCGGTGACCAACCCGAGCAAGCCAGGGAAAGTTCGATTAATCTGGGACGCGTCCGCAAAATTGGATGGCATATCCTTAAGCTCGGTTCTACTAAAAGGACCCGACATGGCAACTCCACTGCAGAGGTGAAAGAGATGTTCCATCAAGTCCGTACGAGAAGTGCGGATCGTTCTGCACAAAGTTTCCTGTTCCGTGACGACCCATCGAAAGAATCTCAAGTGTTCCGTATGGACGTTGCTACATTTGGTGCGACGTGTTCACCAGCCATCGCACAGTACGTCAAGAACGCTAACGCAAGATCTTTCGAGAAGGAGTTACCACTATGTTGACACCGAGAATAAGGCGAAACAAGTTGCGTCTGAAGTCCGAGAGATTCACAAACTAGGAGAGTTCGAGATTCGGAATTGGCGTTCGAATAGCCCAACGGTCCTTCAGCATTTAGGGGAGAGTCAACAGCATCCGGTGTGAAGCAAATGTGCCTCGACGAAAAGGAGCTATCTGAACGCGTCCTGGGAATGCGTTGGATGACAAAGTACGATGAGTTATGTTTTTCAGCTACGATGCGTGGAGATGTCGCACCCATCATCGAGAACGACCACAAGCCAACAAAGAGACATATTCTTCGATGTGTGATGTCCCACTGGGATTCCTCGCCCCATATTTGGTCTTCGGCAAAGTACTCATTCAAAGCGCTTGGCGTTTAGGAATCGGCTGGGATGAGCAAGTAGACTTCGAGTTGTCAACGAAGATGGAGAAGAGGAAGTAGCGCTAGTTTCCGCAAAAACGAAGGTTGTTCCGCTTAAAACAATCACTATTCCGAGATTGGAGCTTCAGGCCTGCGTGCTGGGAACGCATCTTGCAAAATACATTATCGACGGCCATTCCTACTCGATCAAAAAGCGGGTATTTTGGAGCGACTCAAGTGCAGCCCTCAGTTGGATTGGTGCGGATCCTCGCAAGTACAGTCCCTATGTAGCGTACCGAGTGTCCGAAATATTGGAAGCGACCGACCGCACCGAGTGGCGCTGGGTAGCATCGAAAGATAATCCAGCTGACGAGGCTACGAAGTGGGGAGCCGGACCGTATTTCAATTCCAACAGCATCTGGTACAGCGGACCTGAATTTCTATACTTACCTGAGCGAGATTGGAAGATAGGAGAAGAAGAGCTACGAGCTTGTTACGTTCATCGGGAGATACATGTTCCCGAATGTATTGTGGACATCGACCGATTCTCGAAGTGGACGCATTTGCAACGCTTCATGACATACGTCCACCGTTTCATCAACAACTGTCGCAATGTTCGCCTTAACACCAAGGTTCTTACGAAGAAGGAGCTGGCAATGGCCGAAAACTCAATTTTCCGACTAGTTCAGTGGCATTCGTTTCCTAACGAGATTATCACCCTGTCTACAAATCGTTTCCTCCCGTCAGAGCAACAACGGCCGTTAGAGAAATCCAGCAGTATCTACCAGGTCACACCAATGCCGGATGAATTTGGAGTTCTACGCGGCAGCGCAATGTGCTTCAACTGATGCCTAATACCCCATCATCCTTCCGAGGAAACATCGACTGGTAGCGCTGCTGGTGGATCACTATCATCGTCAACTAAAGCATGGCAACAAAGGGACCACAGTCAATAAGATTCGTCAACGTTTTCATATTCCGAAGCTTCGCTCTTTCGTGAATTTCGTCACAGCTCGTTGAAATCTTTGCAAGATACGGAAAGCGCGACCGAGCATTCCACAGATGGTCCCACTTCCGCAAGCCAGATTATCACCATTCACCCGTCCATTCAGCTACGTTGGACTGGACTATTTTAGTCCCTTTCTTGTGAAAGTTGGGCGTAGTCAAGTGAAAAGGTGGATTGCGTTCATCACTTGTCTGACGATACGAGCCGTCCACCTGGAAATCGCGAACAACTTGACAACTGAATCCTGTGTAGCGTGCGTTCGTCGATTCGTGTGCCGTAGAGGATGTCCCGTTGAAATCCACCAACTTTCAAGGCGCGGATCGATTACTACGTGAGCAAATCAATACTAAGCTTGCGACTACGTTCACCAGTTCAACAACAGCTTGGCGATTCATTCCCCCCGGGTGCACCTCACCTCACATGGGCGGCGCCTGGGAGCGAATGGTCAGATCCGTGAAAACAGCGCTGACGGCAGCCTGTGACAATGAAACAGCAGGCCATTGACCTATCTTCCGCTGGACTCTGGGAAGCAGGAAGCAATCACCCCTAACCATTTCCTTCTAGGGAGCTCATCCGGCGTCAAGCAGTTCGAAGATAATAACGCACTCTTGAAGCGATCGTGGGCCATGATCCAAGAACGGCTGAACTCGTTTTGGAAGCGTTGGGTACGGGAGTACTTACCCACGCTAACTAGAAGAACGAAATGGTTTGGCTCGGAGAGGAATGTTGCAGCAGGGGACCTAGTAATAATCATAGATGACACCAGAAGGAACGGATGGACGCGTAGTCGCGTTCTGGAAGCCATAACTGCTGCGGATGGCAGAGTTCGGCAGGCGATCGTTCAAACGAATGGAGGTATACTCAGAAGACCGGTCTCGAAGCTTGCAGTTCTTGATGTGGCCAAGAAAGATGGAACCAAGAAGGCTCACTGGTTCCACCGGGGGGATAATGATGCCACAAAGACAGACCAGCTGGGAGCCCGGCCACGCAATGACGCCAAGGAGCTGCGTTCTTCATGCGTGACGGTTGAACCTGCTGTAGGACGAACCGTCAACGATGACAAAAGGAACGACGAACAACGATATACGGACAGACACCAATGAAAATTTTTGTTCGATAAAGCATAGTTGAAGTGAGCAGTGGATAATAGTCGAGTAATTCGGCTACTGAATCGTAAGTAAGGTTATGGAGGAAACTAACAGTTTATTAATTATTTTACACCTATTTTAGTTTTGAAGCAAGTCAGAACAAGCTCAATCGGATACCTTGCTCTCTCAGCTAACAGTATCATTTCCCTCGAAAATTGATTCGAAATCCATAAAATCCCCTTTGAAAGTCCACTGGGAACCAACTATTGCTATTGCCGTCTAAATTCCCGTTGAAATAACTCCACATTTCCTTCGAAAAGGTCTAGCTAGACGATATGCTACTTACACTGGATATCACGGCAACCTTCCCGAGCACGTGCATCACATTGTACCACATGCCGATGCTTCGCGCACGCTGGGGAACGGCCCGCTTGTAGTACAGCAGGAACTTCTTCGCGTCCAGCCGCGTCTCGAACACGTTGTTCAGCAGCGCAAACAGCGGTCCCAACGGGAAGGCTACCACAAAGATGGTAATGAATCCGTACTGGATGACTAAAATAGATGTTTTTTTTTCAGAGAACTACCAGCCAACTAAATACCAAGGTACTTACTCATCTTCAAATACTCCTCGAACAGACTGCGATCGCTCCAGCTGATCAGCGTATAATCCTTGGTCCACTGGTTGCAGCAAATCAGCTTCTCCCCGTTCTCCGACTCTTCCACCTCGATGCCGAGTACGCTTCTAAACTCCCGGAACTTTTGCATCAGAAACGGCACCAAAATCTCCAGGATCAACGAAATCAGCTGCTTACCAATCATAATGATGGCCAGCTGGATGCACAGTTCCATCAGACAACCACCCGCGCTGCATTCCTCCTGCCGCAAGGTCAGGATCCGATTGTACTTGGCCGGATAGCCGGCAAATTTGCCCTTCATGAATGCGATGTAGAATATCGAACTGTAGTAGTTGATGAACTGGAAGAGGTAGATCTTGAGGTTCAGGCTTTCGTTGTACTCGCTCTGCGTCCGGCGGTACTCGATGTCGGTCATGTAAACGGCCACGTAGTCGTACGCGAAGTTTAGGATGGTCGACACGATCAAGTTGATGACGGCTGCCGTTGCAGGAAGGAGCAGTAGCTTGGTCGATGCGGCATTCGGGTCGCCGTAGATGTCTCGGGCTGTCATCAGGGACATCCGGTAGATCACGATGCCGAAGACGGCCGCGATGGCGAGGGTGATCTGAAAACAGGAAGGAATTAGATCTCCACAGGTTCAAAATATCACCGCTGGAATACTCACGAAAAGGAATATCACCGAGTAACTGTACAGGAAGCTGGGCAACTTTTTCGTCCAGAACGGTGGTGACGGTTCCTGCGTTCCGGTGATGATGTTGAATATCGTCTTCTTGCTGTCCCTCAACCGGGACAGGTACTGCGGCCGCGGTGGTTCCGCCTGCGAGCAGTAATCCGTAATGCCCCATCGGTGCTGGATGGCAGACGAGTATCGTTTCCACATTTCCAGATACAGAGTTGCTGAAATAGGAAGTTGTTACAGTTGTCGAATAAAAAAAATGTCAACCAACTTACCCCAAATCGACATGAAAACCGCAAACACGATCGTAAAGTTGTTGTCGAATATGTGCGCTATCTGTGAAATTGAGCACGTATCGCTCAACTTCCAATAGTCGCACTTGGCATCGCACTGGGGACACATGATCGTGCTGTTGTCATTGCATATATCCTGGCTGACTAGGTTATTCCGATAGGTCAGCAGTCCAAAGAAGAAGCACAGCAGGCCCACTATCGAGGCCCAGATCAGCATGTGCGTGTAGAATCCAAGCCAAGCGAAATACATCGCCACCTTCACCCCAAAGTATTCCTTTATATGGTCCAACGGTTGGTGCTTGATCCACCGGATCACGGAAGCCCACTCCTGCAGCAGCAACGTCCGCTGGCACTCGATCTCCGGCATATCCGGATTTCCATCGTGCAGTGGATATGCATCCAGATAAACCCCATCGTTCAGCAGCTTCCTCAGTCCGATGTCGTACTTGTTCTCCTCCCCGACGCTGAAGTACGTCCGCTCCAGGATAAAATGCGCCACCGCTATCCTGATGCTCTGCGGGAAAAAGTCCGGCTGGCCGTCGTCAAACAGATACGCCTTATCGCGCGTATACTCGTGCTGCAGTTTGTACTCCTCCTTCCGGAACTTGTCCCGATCGATGATCACAAATTTGAACAGCGGCCTCCGGAAGAACCGGACCAGCGTACTGCTCAGGCTAAAGTCCGGCGTTATGATATTTTCCTGGCCCTTCAGCTTCACGATCGGCATCTTCATGCGCATGATTTCACAGTACCGCGAGACCACCTCCGGCGGGACGTGAATCTTGATGAAGTGGATCCGCTGCGAACATTCCGGTTCGATTTCGAGCCCCTCGGCCAGGAGGTTCTGCTGGAAGGTGGTACGCTTTCGGGCCATCTCATCGCTCTGGTTCTGGCCGTTGTAGGCCAGGACAAAGTCCACCACCCGCTTGCCGTCCTGAAAGCGGTTCCATGTCTATGGACGGGGGGTGAATTGGAAATGATTAATTAGATATCGTATTTTTGAATTTGAGAAAGGTTTTTGACTGTGGTGTGTGGGATTAGTGCAACTACAATGTACATTATTTAGTGTCACGTGTGCGAGTGTTAGCCTCTAGACTGGAAATAGTTACATATTCTGCTGTACAGCTCGGTTGTCGACGTGTTCTACTCGGTTTGAGGTTAGGTTTGGTCTTAGGAGTTCAGTGAAGTAAAGTTATATTATATGAATCCCTTCGATTTAAGAATGGCATATAACCTAATAACATCATAAAGGTCAATCTTTTAATTTTGTCGAACCTCCTAACGGAATCCCTTTATGAAGGGCTTTGAGTATGTTGGTTTATTTCCTTTAAATTCCGTTATAATTGCTTATCTTTGACAGTACTCAACACCACTGTAGAATCCATCTTTTATCTACGTGCTACTTAAAATCACAAATCGTAGCATGCCTCTGTTGGAGACTGAATTTGGGTACCCGTTAAGGTAAATGTGACATTGCAGTTGGATACCTGCTGATTGTTAGTACCTGTTGATTAGTATATAAATCGTAGATAAAAGATGGATTCTACAGTGGTGTTGAGTACTTGGCACTGATGAAGTCTGCAAGTAAAGATTGTACTCGAAAAAAATGCTGTATAACTTTTTATTGCATGGGTAAAAATTGATGAAATTTTGAGTTAAACTAGTTCAGAGTGTAATGTTTACATGTGCAACATCTCCTCACAATCTGTCAAGTGGTTATCGAGATAGCTTTCAAGCAAGAAGTGCTTCGACAAAAAATTATGGGAGCGGTCGTGGAAAATCCAGGCCAGTCCCACAGGTGGATCGCGAAACAGTTTGGAATCGACAATTAGACCGTGTCTCGTGTGGAAAAATCGTTGAAGGTGACCCAGACAACCCAGCGGCGAGCTGGCAGTGGAAGAAAAGCGAAGACGACCGACCCCGTGAACGCAAGGGAGGCGAGGGATTACTTCAAGCGCAATCCTAACCTTTCGATTCGGGACGTGGTCAAGAAGGTCAATTCTGGTTCCTCCAGCAGACAATTAAGCGGGCCGGATTTCATGTCTTCAAGGTAAGGAAGGCACCTAATCGAACCGATAAACAGAATACGGTGGCCAAATCCCGCGCCAGGAAGCTGTACCGCGAGTGGTTGGTGCAGCCAAAATGCATAGTAATGGACGACGAGACGTACATTAAAGCGGACGCCAAGCAGATCCGGAAGAAGAAGGTCGACTAATTTGCCAAGAAGTACTGCGATACGGCACCATCAACAAAGGTGACACTCTGTTTTGGCCGGATCTGGCATCGTGCCATTACGCGAAACCGGTGGTGTAGTGGTACGAATTCTGGGCGATTATGAAGGGCAAGCTCCGGATAACAGGGATGACAAGGATTTGAAGAAAGTGTGTAAGAAAGATGGCTCAAGTGTTGCACAGGATTTGATGGGTAGCGTTAGCGGGCATTTAGCCTAGGAGGTTGAATAAACCAACGCACAGTGGGCAAAAATGGACAAAACCGCGACTAAATGGAATATTTCGACTGCCAAACGGTTTCAGTCAACATGTTGTACATATTCTCAAAGGAAAAAAAAATGCTAAATCGATTGGTGGTGGTAAAGACACCATATACGCAATCAGGGAAACTCTATTGGCCTAAAGGAGGATCCGGAACGACCGATAAAGTAGCCACATTTTAAAAATTGTCCTAGAACCTTGCGAATTTTTCTTTCGATGATTACCCGTAGGTGCAATACCCAAGTAGCAATTCTGACTTAGTGAGGGTTGCATACACCAGGTTCATAAAGTATGCAATGCTATTTGGGTTGTGAAGATATAATTTTGAGTTAACGATAGGATTAAGTCAAAACATTGAGAAATATAACGCTTTTTTTGCTTCACTTCGCAACCGATGAACCATTCTGATGGCCTATGAGTACCCAAATGACCATATAGTCGTAATATAGCATTATGTATACTTAATTTGCTCGAGTATGGTCAGTTGGGGAATCCGATGAAAATTATTACTAGAAGCTAATCCCGGTAGTATTTCTTTATTTCTTTCTTTCTTTTTGCACTTTCCATACAACACCATCCCATACTAATCATCACATTGATTCAATGATGCACGGAGTGCACATTCCGAGTGCTCGGTGGAGCTAAAGAAGAGAACGTGCCTAAGTGTAAAGCAGCGAAGAAGAGAAGAGAGACACACATCGAGAAATAACAAAAGCTCAATGTGTAGCCATCGCTCTGACGGCACCGATGCAAAGAGCGCCACTCAGTGTATGGTTGCAAATGGGAAACCCAGCAAAAAGACAAAATTCTTCTTCGTTATGCCTTTTTTCATCTCCTATGCATGCAGTCGTGGTAAACAAAGTCTGCAAAGAATTCAAAGAAGACATTAGCGTTTGTTGTGCTGAACGGAGTGTGCCGCGCCTTCCTACCTTCCTCACAGATTAGTTCGAAAAGAGTCTTCTTCTTCTTCTTCGCATTTCAAGCTTATTGCATATCGCATATTAGCGTATTGCGTGCTCTCAACTTAGTGTTCTAGATGCACTTCCACAGTTATAAATTGAGAGCTTTCGATGCCTGTACCATTTTTGCATAGGTATAATTGTGTGGCAAGTCCAATCATACTTCTATGCCCAGAGAAGTCGAGATATTTTCTAAAACTATGAAGTGCTTTCCAGCCCTGATTTTAACAAAATCGGTTACAAACTTTTGCAATGAAAATGGACACTTATAAATTCGAAATTAATTATAGTTTCGAGTAAAAACGCTAAACCAAAAAAACGGGAAATTTCATACAAATTTGATAACATTTGTATCGGCCTTTCATCTTACAAGAAACTGTTCATATTTTTTTTTAATTTCAAGAGAAGCTTCAACAACATGTAATGGAAATGATCACATTTTTTTTATCTAATTTGTTCCATTAACATCAAGTAAATTTCACATTTAACATTTTCAAGAAGCTTCAGAAAACATCAGTTAAGTTCAAAGTCCTTTAGGAAAATTTAGAGAGCTTCAGGAAACTTCTGAGAACTTCAGGGCGGTTCCATGGCGGAACTAGCTCCAGAAAACTTCAAAGAACTTGACTATGGAAAATACTGAAAACACAATAAAATTAGAAAAATTGAGGGAACCTTCATTTTTCAAGAAGTTTTAAAAATTTCATGGAAATTGCAACAATTTAAAGGAAATTCTTGGGTGGTTCTAAGAGCTTAAAAAACGTCCATTATGACATGGAATTTTGACGTAGGACTACGTCTTTGATTTTTATATGGGGGTACACTTTGTGAAAACCGAAAATGGAACATGTAACAAATTAAGAAAGAATTTGAACGTTAGTAACTCAGCTGCCCCTGGTACAATTTCAATAATTTTATCACCAATCGATCAGAAATATGGCTACGCATCGATAACAATGCTTCCGAATGTTGATTTTCAACAAAAAAACTATTGAAAAACTGGTAAATGTCGAGCATTGTCCAAAAGCGTCGAATTAACTAACAAATCCACCAATTACCTACATGCATATCCTGCTTCCCCAGCACAGTCGTCAGAGAGTAGTAAGTAGACGAAACAAGTCGAAATGGCATTCGCCTCCGATCCTCGGGCGCGTGCGAATAGGGAGGATGGAATTGCGTAATATTTTGCACACTCATCGCCATATTCAGAACCACACGCTCCCAATGACCACACCACTGTGTGGTGGTGTTCGGTCGTCGAAATTTGTAGCAGCAGTAGCAGTGCTTTCGGCGTGTGGCGTTGAAAATTGTTCTCCAGTAACAACGAAAGGCTGCCTGCAAGCAGCGAGCTGCAGAGCCCGCATAAGCAACCATCAAAGGAGGAAGAAACTGCACCGCTATGCTATGGATCGAAATCAGTAGCTCTTCGTGAGTCGCTGCGGGTCGGTCATCTATGCCAAGCGTGTCACCCTCGCTCCAAACGACATACAGCTCGACAGCCTCATCCGTGTTGAACACCCAGCTCAGAATTACTCAACCATCACTTCAAAACGGTCCTTTTCAGGGCCGCCAAAAATTTGTTAAAGAGTATTATTTGGACATTGGTCAAGGCCATTAGTTCCCGCAAGCAGCTAGCTATCAAGGCTCAACCTGTATATAGAGGTGCAATTAGTTTTTCCTCGGCTTTCATTCCGCACGATTCGTTTCTTTCGTTTAATCAATCATCCTTGTAAAGACGTCAAAAAATGAAATTAAATGTGGATTATAGAATTTTTTATATGTTACCAAAATTTATGAATGGTTTGCCAATAAATGTTGAGATAATTTATTGATTATTGAATTATCACACTGTATACCATGAAAAATCAGCCTGTTTGTGAGTTTTTACCTGTTTTCAAGTAAGGAGTTATCATAAAAAAAAACAAATCGCCAGCTGGTATTTCCCGGCGACTTTACCACATAATAGGGTAGAGCACTACTTCGTCGTAATCGCCCATTTCCGTTCTATCGATCAAAAAAGATCAATAACATAAATGATTTCACTGTACACAAATCAATAATAGGTTTGTTCCGATGCGTTAGTTCATTAGCTACAACATAAATCCTATTAGAGCACATTGTATGAATATTTACGCTCATTGTTCTCAGAACAAAAGAAGCGCTCATATAGCGAATCCCCATTTTCTACGTTTATCCGTAGGACGACGAAAATCCAATGGCGTTTCAATGCGTTAGGACGGAATTGAAACTCGTAGAACGAATTTAGAATCACGAAGCAGTATTAGATTTAAAACAATATCTCAACAATTTGTGGCTCTTTATCAAATTCAACGGTACGTATGGAAAGGTGGATAAATTTAGAAGTCATCGGGGTTGCCGAACTCATGGAATAGTGACACATTGATAGGCACACTTTGATTGAAACCTTATTCGGCACAGCGATTCCCGAGCAGAAGAAAATAACTAATCAAGAAGAGCCACATGTGAAAAGGGCATACAAGCTT